CGCAAAACGCTTGGCGCCCATGTTGAGATTGGAGCGGGCCAGAGGGACGGCCCTTCGAGCGAGGATAGTAGAGACCATGGTCGAGATTGCTATGTGGATAGGTGAGCCTGAGCGAGCTGTGTGGATGCGTGCAGATGTGATGATGGGAGAAAGTCATGCAATCCGAGTCGTTCGGACTTGTGATTTGCCTTCTGAGCCTTGGTGATCATCTTCGACTCACGACTGCACATACCACCGGCCGCGCACTTCTGGCGTGTACGGTACACGCGGCGATGAGGTAGTATATCTGTCAGCGCCGAGTCAATCCGCGCGCACGTGGCGTCGACCAGGCTGGCCTCAAGCAGTCAAGAGTGGGCAGCACAAGGGCGCGCGGGCGTTCTGTTTGTGCAGCCTCCGCGGACTTGCGAGTGCTGTGCGGCGCGAGCGCGAGCGCGAGCGCGTCTCGCTGCAATGGGGGCCGCAAGAGCGCATTCGTGATTCATCAGCAGGATGCTGCTGCTGGGAGCGGGTTGGTTGATCATCGCGATCGCGATGAACCGCGACGCGGGCGCTCACCACACCAAACCACACGACCCAATTTCGTGCTCGTGACTTGCAACATCGACGTGCGCGCGCGCGTCACTCACATTCTTGTCTCGCATCTCTTCGCCGTTCAGCAACGGCACACGCTACAGCCGCTCTAGCTCACCTGCACCACTCGTCACTGCTGCTATCTTTTGCTGGGCAAGACATCGCGACCGAAGATGTCGTCCAACGTCGCTAGCACTCCCACCCGTGCACCACCAGCACAGCGTCCCGTCGCCTCTCTGCCGTCTCAAGCTGCTCGGCCCTCGGCCGCTTCAGCCAGCGCAGCTTTAGCCATCGCGCGCAAAAGGAATGCAGCCGATGCTCTGCTCGTACCCGGCGCGACGTCCGGTGGAGGAGCTGGATCCAACAGCTCCAAACGAGGTAGACCTACGAGCAGAGCGCTGCCTCCTAGCATCGTCAGACATGTACCGGAGAGCGCCGTGTACGGTGATTTGTGCAGAGTAGAGAGAAGCTTGGACTGGACAGTGGCGAGGAAACGGGCAGAAGTCTCAGAGAGCATCTCGAAAACTCCAAAGGTGAGAAAGGAACGACCCAGCGGTGCCTTCTAGCCTTGCGAAGGCGCTCACAATCTGCCTCCTTCTGCATGTCGTGGCTCGCAGGTAAAGCGGATTTTGCGCATCTTTCTGTCCAACACGTGCGCGAATCAACCTTTTCAGCGCGCAAGCGCAGATGGAGATGTCCCCAGCACCCTCGAAGGGACGGGCGTACACAACGCGGAAAATGCGTCCGCCAGTACCGAGGCGGAGGGCTCAAACGATGTAGGAGCTGATAAAGCACAATCTAGCGGGGACGCAGTAGTCACGAACAGTGCCGACGTGCCATCCTGGACATTGCGAATCGAAGGTCGGCTAGTAGCGCCTAGCAATTTGTCTAGGGCAGCATCTGCTCAAGCTGCACAGGCGGCTGCTACCAGAGTGGGAGCGCACAAGTTCACCAATATGGTTCGAGCGGTAGTGGTCGAACTTCAGCGAGATCAGGCACTGCATCCCAACGAGAGCAACATGGTCGAGTGGCATCGACCCGTTCCTACTGCGGTGCCTGACAGGAGCAGCGCTGCTGTGGGTTCTGCAGGAGTGGGGGAGCCTCCGCTCATCACCACTTCTGAACCTGCCTTGGATGGCTTGGAAGTCAAGAGAACCGGAAGCACGCCGGTCAAGGCCAAAATTGTGCTTTACCCAGCATATACTCCGGAGAGGTACGCGCTTTCCCCTGCACTCGCAGCTCTGCTGGACGTCAAGGAAGAGACACGAGCGGGAGTCATTGCCGCTCTTTGGGGCTACGTCAAAGCCAACGGTCTTTTGGACGAAAACGATCGGAGGTTGGTCAGGTGCGATGCGGCTCTAGGAAGCATCTTCAATGTGGATCACATCTTGTTCCACCACATGCCTGAAGTCGTCAACAGACATCTGCATCCCGCCCAACCCGTTGTCATCGAGTACTGGATCCGAACGGACGTGGCCCAGCATAAACATCCCACCGCTTACGATATCGAGATGGAGCTGGACGACTGGTCCACCCGCAAAGCGAGAGAGAGCGTCTTGGACGCATTCGACCCCAAGGGCGAGGCAGCACAAGAGATTTCTGAACTGGACGATAGGGTGAGTGCACGCGGCGCACCTTTCCGGTGATTTGGTAGCTCCACACCAATCGTTTCACTGACGCCTTGACGTCTTCTGGCTCATCTTCGGCTGCAACAGATCGCACAGGCAACCTCGACGCTGTCGACACGCGCCCTCTCGCGAGATTTCCTGAGCACCTTCTCGCAGAACCCGCATGCCCACCTGCGATCCTGGCTAGCCTCCCAATCTCGCGATTTGGACGTGGTCTTAGGCTCCGGGGGTCTAAGCGGCAACGGCGGTACAGGCACAGGCACAGGCTCAGGTGGCGCTCTGGCCGGCCTGACCGACGAGGAGCTGAGAAGGGCAGGAACGTTTCGCGGTAAATGGGTCGACGAAGCAGTGGTCGTATTGGAAAGCGCTCGATATGCCGAGAGGCTCTTGGGCTTGCAGAGGGGAGAAGGTGGACCGGCCAACCAGGCCTTGCCTCCGCATGCGCATGCGCATGCGCAACAGGGACATGGCAACAAATCTTCGCCTGCTGCAGCGGGATTGCCTCATGCGCAGCAGGTCGCTGGTGCTTCGCAGGCTTATGGAAACATGCCACCGCCTACCGGTAGACCTGGATCTGTCGTCAACACTCCTAGACGCTGAGCACATGCGGATCCTTTGTAAAGTCAATTTCTATTCTGCCATCTCATCCTTCTCCGCGCTATACCTATCGACTTGAGTGTTCAAGACATTCGCGAGCGCGATGTGGCGCTCAGGGCGTTGCAAGGTCTCAGCCAGTCGGAGATGCTCTCTGCTTGCGCATAAGTCTCTAGCCTCGAGCCTGCATCCTCTCTTCTTACCCGCAACGCACCGGCGGACCGTATGCTTCACAGAGGCGTTGAGAAGCACTACGAAGATCGGCAATCTGACATCGTATTCATTTTCCTTTGCCGTTAGGAAGACGGAATGAGTATGAGTTTGCCGGGTAAAAAGGCAATCTGTTGTACATGAGAGCACAGCGCATCAATCATCAGCGATCGGAGCTTCTTCGTCCAAGATGCGAATGAGTTTGACCCGCATCTCTGTAGTCTCGTCGCCCCTTAGAACGTCCGAAACGAATCTGACTTCTGTTTGTAATTGGACCTGTATAGCAAGAGGAGCAGCGGCGAGTGTCAGACTCCTGCTTTTGTGGATAGAGCAAAGGTCCCAAGCTGGTCCCAAGCTAGATAGCAAGACGATCCGACTTTCTTGAGACAGCGTGCACTCCCAAGACGAGCTCGACGCACCATTTCCAGAGCGCCCCTGATAACGCCACAAAGCACATTGCTCCACCAAAGTCCGCCCAATCTAGCTTCTTCGTCCAGCTCTACGAACTCGGCCAGAGGGTTCTCTTCCAGCACTAGACCGAATTCTTGCGTTGTTTGGCCCGATGCCGAGGCTCCTGCACTGGCGACAGCTGCGGATTGCGACGCCGAGGTCAGAGGCACCTCTTTGATCGGAAGCAGCACAGGCGCAATGTTGAGGAACAGCCTGAAGCCGACCTGAGGGCACGATAGGTGCGTCGAAAGCAGGACATTGGCAAAGAGGGGCCTCAGCTAAGGAATATGCTTCGGATGAGATTTCTGCAAAAACCGATCAACCCACTTTGGAAAGCACCTCGGCAGTCTCTGCGAAATCCCTACACTTGGGCAAGCCGGTTCTGGCTAGGAAATCCTCGATCAACCTCGTACCGATATTGTAGCCCATCTTGTCCAATTGCGCATTGACGGCAGTGTAATCCTCGTAATCCTTGATCAGCTGCACGACTAGCGCTCCGTATGTCAGCGTGAACAGCTCCGCGTTCTGTTTGTCGAAAGAGATGAGCAGGTATGCGTCAGGCGGGTCCGGTGAAGGGGAAGATGAGATTTGAGGGGCGTTGCTGCGTCTTGCAGGCTCGTACGACTGAGCTGGCTAGAAAGCTACTCACGACCTTTTCTGCTCTATTCTTCCACACATCCTCTCCCAACGCTTTGAGCGCTTTGGAAGACATTGCGATTGCGAGCAATGGTCTCAGTTCAAAGGATTGCCCGTCTATTCTCTCCGCGCGCTTGAGTATTGCAACAGTGATGTCCTCGTGATCAATATCAACGAGATGTGGGTGTATGCGCCTTGGGAAGTGTGTGGTGGCCCAGATGCAAGGCTGTCGGCTGCTAGGTCGCGATCAGTGATGTGCCTAGTGCGAAGAAAGTAACTGGGTGAAGAAAGACGGCAAGAGTAGCGGAAGAGTCGTGAAAAAGAGTCTGCATGCCCATTTGAGAGGATATGACTTAGACTGCTGGGAAGTGTCAAGTCGGGGTTGGACCCGAGTCAAGAAATCACGAGTCAAGAGTCAAGAGTCAGCAGAGTTGAGTCTGAGTGCATGCGCACGCAATCGGAACTCACGTGTCCGCCCACGCACGGACTCGTGCACTCGGGGCGCACGAGTCGGACGACTCGATCAACGGATCGGACAGCGTGTATAGATACGATTTGGGAGCATCTCCCTTCCGCCCCTCATCCATCCATCCAGATCTGCAGTCGTGAGTCCCGAGAAACACGAGGCGACACTACGGAAAGCGGAGCGCCGCGTAGGCCGTTGTCATCAAGCTCCAACAAAGGCGAGGTAGAGAGAGGATCGAACCTGCTAGATACCGGGCCTCTTGGATCGTTGTATGGCGCGGAGCTTTGGCAACGCTCTGCGGCGAGCAAGCCAGGTGCGCCCGGGAGCGATAGTACTGCAGATGAAATCGCATTCCCCGACGGACCTCACTACTTGAAGTCGGAGGGCAACGACGACGGATCTAAGTTGCAGGCACAGGTCCGGTCACAGTTCGACATCCCGACCATGTCCTCAAGTCGGCCTGGTCCTTCGGCCCCAGCTTCGACCTCGACCTCGGCCTCGACCTCGAACCCTGCTTTCCAGAGAGCTACAAGGGAAGCAACAGCTGAGGATCTGGCCGAAATACGTCTGCTTTTGCAACACGTGGTCAGACAGTTCTACGAGGATAGACACATCGTCGTGATAGACAGGCTCGTCAAGTTTCAAGTGTGAGTGCACGGTAGTCAGTCAAAGTAGCGGTGGATGGGTACTTGATCGCAGCAGCGAAGGAGTTGAGGATCGTGACGCGCGTACAAAGGATTGGGGCAACGGATAGAAGGCTGTATGCGGTGCGCTTGTGTGAGCGTATGCTTTCATTGAGAGGGCGCGGAGGAGAGAGCCAAGACGCCAGTCGATCGATCTAGCATTCAACACAACACCTGATGGTCTCTCCTATCAATCACTGTCCAGTGTTCCAGCCGATGCGCTCGCAGGCCTGCTAGCCATCACTCCCAAAGAAGTCACCGCACTTACTCTTCGCTTAGTCGAAGATGGTTTAGTGATGGTGTGAGTGGGTTCCGCCAACGTCTACACAACTCCGTCAAGCTGAGCACCGAGGATGCTCGCACTTTTCCGAAATTTAGTCACCGGAGGCTAGAGACGCGGGAAGGTGGTGCAAGATCATTTCCGTAGGTGATCCTGGTTGAGCTCGCAGTGCAGCTTGTCCTTGCTGATTTGTAGATTGAATTTACATTGCTTTCAGTCGAGCATACTATTACATCTCTCCCTCCAATGCTCTCAACGTTCTCAAATGGCGCCTGTTGAACATGCGTCGGACGATCGAGTCAGCTCTCTTGGCCGAGCTAGACACGCGTGGCTTTGTCTGTCCAC